TAAATAAATAGGCATGAATCATGCCCTTATACTCTGCTTGAAGGATAGGATCCAGCTGTATTTATATTTGCATTCCTAGTTTCCATGATTATGTCTCATGACAAAAAGGTGCTCAAAACATGTTTGACATAATTAAAGGAACTCTGCTTAGGACTGATGTAATGTTCATGAATACCAAAAAGTATGCAGAACTTCTCAAATATATTAACTCTGCTTCTTTTCAAGAAAAATGATATTTGGGCTTAAAAAAGGGTAGAAAGAATTGATGCCCAGTATAGGTGAGGGGATTGTAATATAGCATCGTGCTGCTCTAAATGAAGCACATTGTAAATGTGATCACTGAATTGCTGCCAGTGGAGGAAGCATGGAGACTTGGAGGGCTGCCAAAGACTGGGAAAGAGCAAATAAACATAGGTCTGATTTTTTAATATCTTATTCCTTCTTAATAGTCTATACTTAGTATACTTCTAAAAAGACTGATGTCAATCTTTTTCTAAATTCAGATTCCATGAATATTGTACTATTATTAATAATATTAACAATCTGAATTCAGATTATATTAATATTGTGCTGTTGTTAATATTAATAATTAATAATATTAATTAATAATATTAATACTCTGAATTTAGAAGAAGACTGGCATCAAGTATCCTGGATTATTGATGCAGTTCTTTCTGTAAAAAAAACAAAATCAGACCTACGTTTATTTGCTCTTTCCCAGTCTCTGGCAGCCCTCCGAGTCTTCATGCTTCCTCCACTGGCAGCTGTGATTCAGTGATCACATTCACAATGTGCTTCATTTAGAGTAGCAAGATGCTACATTACAGTCTCATCACCTATACTGGGCATCAATTCTTTCTACCATCAGAAAAGGTGAAATCCTGCCATTTGCGACAACATGGATGGATCTTGGGATTATCATGCTAAACAAAATAAGTCAGACAGAAAAAGTTGAGAACAATGTGATTTCACTCAGATGTGGGACATAAAACTGAAAGCAACAAACAAACAAGACTAACAAACAAAAACTCATAGCCAGAGACAACAGTTTGGTGGTTACCAGTGGGCAGCGGGGTGATGTAGAAGAGGCTACAGGGGGTCAAATACATGGTGACGTAGGGAGATTTGACTTTGGGTGGTAAATACACAATGCAATATATAGAAGATGTATTATAGAACTGTACACTTGAAACCTATATAATTTTATTAACCAATAAATTTAATAAAAATTTAAAAATAGCTTCTAATCACTTAGAAAAGAAAATGGTAAGCATTTGTGGAACCATCCTAAGTTATACCAAACTAATCTGATTTCCTTTTTTTTAAGGGAGTGTGTTTATATATAGATCATACATCAAAAAGCAGTAAAAATAGTATATTGATAGGATTTCAACAAGGTATTTGACCAGGTTCCCACTATATCCATATGGATAAGATAAACATAACATGGTTAACAGTACAATTAGGTGACTAGGTACTGTATGAACAACCATACATAACAAGTGCTCATTAATGAATTGCTATCCACCTGAAGGCAGTTCTATTGGCAAACCTCAGGACTCAATCTGTGGCCTTTCACTATTCATCAACTTTATAAATAACTTGATTGAAGATGGAAAAGGTTACCATACTACTGTTGGCACCCAATGTTCAGTTGACATGAAACTAGGGGGCTCATAATATATATTACAAAAGAACCAGGATCTAAAAACACAATGATAAGCCAGAAAACTGGGCTAATTCTGATAAAATGAAATTTAATAGGGAAAAATATCTAAGAGATCAATCAATATCTGTATCCAAATATAGCAGGGGTGACAAAAAAATGTACACACGTTTTAAGAGATGGTCAACGTTGCTCAAGCAGTTCGCTGTAATCAGAAGTGCCTGGATGCTGATGGTAACCACTTTGGACACCTCTTGTAATGGCAGAAGTAAAACATGACTTGTATTCATCTTTTGTTATCAGTATATATTAAGTATTACAATTTTAATACAATTTGTCTTTCTTAAAATGTGTATACATTTTTTTGGCACCCTCTGTATATGCAACTGTGAAATGGGCATGCACTGTGACTTAATTGACACATACATAAAACAACATGGGGCTTAAAGGCTTTAAATGACCACAAGCTTAGTTCAATCTGACAGCAGCAAGTTCAATATGATGTGGATATCCGAAAAGCTAATGTAATGCTAGCTGCAGCAGCAGTAAGATCTCAAAAATGGGAGACAGCAGTCCCGCTCAACTCTGGAATGATCAGACCATCAGGGAAACTGTGTACTCTCCTAGGGGTCACAATCGTCCATCATAGGATCTTAACCATACTGGCACATATTCAGAACAGAATAACCAGGATGCTTAGGAGCCTGGATATTATTCCATAAAAGGAAAGACAAAGAAAACAGAGATTTATAAATAGGATAAAAAGATGCCTTCAGAGAAAAATGATGGCTACCTTCATTCAGTCATTCAACAATCATGAATTTCAAACCGGTACATTGTGACAATAGCTGGGGATACAGAGAGAAGAGAATCTATGTCCCTGAGAAATTCATATGTATATTTGAAGAGTTGAAACAGCCATGCTCTAAATAAGGATTAGATTGTTTCATAAGGTAGAAACAGGGCCAATGGGAAGAAGTTAGAAAGTAACCAATTTCAGTTCCATATAAGGAAGAGTAGTATTCTAAGTGTCAAAGCTGTCTCATGAAGAAGCTGCCTGAGAAGACTGCAAGGTTGGAATTACTAATGGTGCACTTAGAAGGGAGGCTGCTGAAATCAGACGCACTGAACTGGACCATCTTTAACGTTCCTCACATTCTACATTATGATTCTACACTTCCCCAGGAAATGGACTCTCACCAATCATCTTATTTGTGTGCTTCAGCATCACAGGTTTCCTACAGTTGCTACTTCCAACTTTGTACCCTGTCCCACACTGAAGCGATGCTTTATAACTGGGAATTGGATCCAAGAGCAATAGGAATAAAGAGATATAGGGAAAAAACTGACCCATCAGCGCGCGCACACACATACACACACACACACACACACACACAATCAATACTGTTCAATGTGCCATGTATTTGTAAAGACAATGTAAGAATTTTCTCTTTTAAGTCATAAATTCAATTAAAAATATTATGTTCGCTTAATGTAAATAAGGATTTATTATCTATTGCATCTCTTGTTGGGAGCCATTTTTTTCAAACAAACAAGAAAAAATTTTAACTTAAGATCACTTCAAGAATTGTGTCCTAAATACGCACTCCAAAACCCTCTATTATAAAGTTAAGTGGAAACTAAGTTTGGAATATATTTCTAATAAGAAATGATTCATCAGGTATAGCAGGCCAAATACCATGAACTAATCAAATTGTGGAATTCTGATTAAATGGCTACTTAAGTTTAATCAATTTTTAAAATCACAGGCAGGATAAACAGACAAAAGGCCTAGACCATTTACTTCTGGCTTTCATAAATCAGTTTAAGATCATTTAAGCTTACTTTCATTATTTTACTTTGTAATTTTAAAACAGTCTCAGATTTTGGCACTATATGCTGCAGCTGGGTATTTAAGCAGTTTACCCTTCCAAACTGTTAATATTAACTTCTTGGAAGGAGTCCCTCACACTTTAGCGCTTTCTACATTTGGATGCAATAAATGGGCCACAATTCTATTTCCAAGGGCTCTTTTAAATAGCAGCCCGGAAAGACAAAAGTGAGAAATAAAGAGCGGGCATCTTTAACCACTAGCCCTGAAAAAAGGCTTCTCCTTCGGTTGTCATCAACTCTGATGGCTCGCTACCATTTCTCAACACACTGCCTGGTCGTTTCGGTTTAAAAAGGAAAGATTCCAGTTTTCCTGGGATGGGGAGATTCCCTTTTGTAGAAGTGGCTAAAGCTAGGCTACCCACGGGATTTCATAGCGTTGCCAAGGCCACCCCGAGTTGTCCCGCGTGAGGGCAGCTCCCGCCCGTCCGCCCGGAGCCCAGCCTGCGGCAGCGCAGCCCCGGCCAAGCCGGAGCCCCAGCGGCTGCAGAGTCCCAGCCGTGACCCAGGACGGCCCCGCGGGTGCCCCCAGGACCGCGGCGTACAGCGGGGAGACGCGGGGAGACTTACAGTGACACCATCCTAAGTGACAGCACCAGTGCAGCTTGAAGCACTTGCCGTGGCTGTGCGTGGCACAGATGGAGAGCCCGTCGCAAGGCTGGAAGTCGGGTCTGCGGGCAGCGCAACTCCGCGCCAGGGCCTGAGCCTCGTCCACTTTCTCGCTCTTCCAACCCCGCTCGGACGCGGGCGACGCCGCCGCACTCATGTCCTNTATGGATCTTCTTGCATGATTTCAATCTATTTTTTACATTAATACCAAAATAATCTCCCTTGCTGATTTCATTCTCCTACTTCCCATGTTATCACTATGATGCCAACGTCTCTACCAAATGAAACGCCAGACTTTTCCTGTTCATCACTCCCTCACATATCAACAATCTAATATCTTATTCCTTCTAAATATTCTATCTACCCCAGCCACAAAAATCTACTTTACAATATTTGCATATGACTTATTCTTTCCCAGCCCCCTTCACTGGCCAAGCATGTCTTTTCCTCTCTCAAACGCCTCTTGGAATCCTTCACTCATTAACTCAACCGAGTACCACTCCTTACTGGGGAAAAAATAAACGTGCAGATTCAGGGCCATAGTTTATTCAGTCCAATAACCTATCTTTGACAGTGATACCAACAACAAAATACATTATAGTTTCCCTCCCAGACACAGTACTCAAAATGTGTCATTACGCAAATACACTATTTCCTTTAATAATCCATCAAGCACTGAATCTATGCATATATACATGTTTTATATGTCTTTTGTGAACATGTATATATTTTCAGCCTTTTCTATTTCATAAGGTTGTGAATTTCACAAGTTTAGCATCGACCATATAAAATTGAACTTCCTTTATTTGTTCTGAATTTCCTAAACATCAAGGTAGTCTTCTCATTTTAGCATTTTTGGATTTGGTGAACAAGCTGATAGCTTTCCCACCTGTATTATTTGTGATTTTAAAGGGATATAAAAATAAATACAGCTATGAGGGTGGGTTCAGCGCAGGAAGGATGATGCCCTCCTGTGGGTGGCATGTGTGGTGGGCTCCATCCACATGGGATAGTGGCCGCTCTCTCTCTAGCCCTCGCCCTGGGGCCACACAGCTCAGTCTTTCCCTGTGTGTCTCTGGAGCCTCTCGAGTTGCTGTCCTTCTGCCAGAGCCCAGGAAGTCTGAGAACAAGGTGACTGCATGCTCAAGTTCTGTCTCCCACTACTCCTGTTCCTACTTCTAGATGAAATCCTGCTTTTAAGCCTACTCACTTCCTTCTGGAGATCCTCAGCAAACCTGATTCCTAGAGACCTANAAGTTACACTCCCAATAAATGGAAAAACTAAGATTCAAAATCAGGTGTGTCATATTCCACGGCTCTTGTCCTTTCTAGGACTACACTCTGCCTTCCACATTCTATGTATAAACCACTCTTTATTTTTCAAGAAAGCAAATCTCCTGCTAGACAACTTCTGGTTATCAAGCATGTGTTCCTATATTTGTTTGGAATTAATTTCTCTGAAAATATTCTTTCTTGTAATTAAGAGATTCTACAATATAAGAGAGCAAAGTGAGGGTTTTATAATGTAGGTAGTTATCATAGAAAGGCCCTCAAAAACTAGTTCAAATCCCTAAGTTCAACAGGCTTGGAAGCCAGTAATAATTAATAGTACATATGCAAATCTAAAAAAAAGGGCTTGCACCAGTTAGGGATCAGTTGAGGATATGACAAGACTAAAGCTTCATACTATACAAACATATTATTAAACGTTTTTTAAAGGCACAGATTTACAGAGTTCACAACCACTCCAAAAATGTTTATAATGCATATAGTTGCCCTTCTCTTAAAATAAGAAACCATTCTAATTTTACTTATTTATTAAATCCTACTTGCTCCAAAAAGAATTTAAAACAGCTGAAATCATCCTTACTGAACCTTGAGTAGAACCAAGAAAGCCAGAGTCCTGGGCGCCCCTTGGTTTGTAAGATTCTGATACACATTTACCATATGAGGTGTGACCTCTGGCAATTTCCTAATGTAAAAAATGAGGATAATAACAGACCCTGCCTCACAAGGTTGCTGTGAGGTTTCAATGAGCTGACACATGCAAGATTACAACTGTGCCTGCATATGAGCATTCTGTGTATTGTTATTGTGGGTGTTAATTGCATCCACAATTGAAGCACCGCTTGGATAGAAAAACACTCATCAGCTTTCTTCTATCTCTGGAAAAGCTTTGAGGAAACTCATTCAGAACTTGATCTCACACTTGTCCTCTTAACATCTGAATCCTCTTCCTTTAACCACCACACATGGTAAGAACCCTCATCCTTAGAAAAAGCAAAAAGCTTCGGCCGACTCTTCCATCCAACCAAACTACCACTCCATTTTTTTTTTTTTACTAGTTTTCACTGTCAAACTTCTTGAATATATTTTCTGTAGCTACTGTTATTGACATGATAGAGATGTGCCTTAGAAAAACCAGCTGGCATTGCCCTGGGGAAGTCAGAACTTGATTTTGTGAGTCTCCCCAGAGCTGTTGTAGAAGCAGGAAAAAG